AAAATAATTGGCAGAGCCAAGGGGTGTAGAACGTGAATATTAAGGAATTTAAGAATCACCTTCTCCAATGGAACAAAAAAGTCTTCGATAATATTAATAGAAGAAAGGAGTATTTATATAGAAGACTTGATGACTTAAATAAAAAGGTTAGCTTGAATGGGAACTCAGATCAATTCGATCAGGCTAGAAAAGAACTTTGGTTGCAGATTGAGGAGGTTCTCGCATAAGAAGTCATGTGGTTACAGAAGTCATGGTGTAACTAGTACCAACAGGGTGATCGCAATACTAAGTACTTTCATAGCATGGCAAGTAGTAGGCAACAACACAACAGAATCAAAGCCCTCAAATTGGAATCTAGAGAGTAGTCTTATGACTCACAGGAGATTAAGGAGATGAGCACTAAGTTCTTTGAAACGCTCTATACTGAAGAAGAATCTACCGACCAGGTGATTAATTTTGACATTGATTTCCCTCAGATTGAGGAGGAGGATATTTGCCACTTGGGAAGACGAATCTCGGACTAGCAAATTAGGGGAGCTCTTTTTGACATGAGCCCTTTAAAGGTGCTAGGACCTGATGGCCTAAATCCCCTATTTTTCCAGAGTCAATGGGAGGTGGTGAGTCATACGGTAATACAAAAAGTAAGAGAAATTTTTGATTGCCCATCTCTGGTCAAACTCATCAATGATACTCATATTGTGCTGATCTTGAAAGTTGACAACCCCCCAAACTATCAAAGAATTTCGCCTAATCAGTCTATGTAACGTCATATATAAGATTGTGACCAAGATAGTTACAAACTGGTTTAAAGATGTCATGCCCAAGATCATTGCCCCTAACCAATGCAGCTTTGCGAAGGGCCGCCAAAGCTCAGATAATATCATCCTAGCCCAAGAAATTATCCATCGTATGAAAAGCAAAAAAAAGACAAAGGGGTTCATGGCTATAAAAATTGATTTGGAGAAGGCCTATGATAGTATTAGATGGAGCTTTATCTTCGCTTGCCTTCAAGAACTTTGCCTCCCGGATTCTATTATCAACATTATCGAAGCTTGCGTCTCCAGTCCATCTATGTGCCTACTTTGGAATGGAGAACTTGCCAATAATTCTATCCGTCGACAGGTGTGCAGCAAAGGGACCCTCTATCACCCTACCTCTTTGTCATTGCGATGGAAAAATTAGGCCACCTTATTCAGGGAGAAGTTGAGCACAGCGAGTGGTGCCCCTTTAAATTACACAAAAGAGGTACGGCTATTTCTCATTTGTTTTTTGCTGATGATATTCTTCTATTCACTGAGGCAAATCTGGAGCAGGCTGGTCTTATTAAAGCAACGCTTGATGATTTTTGTATGACTTCGGGACAAGAGGTCAATGCTTCTAAGACCAGGATCTTCTTCCAAATAACATTAATCATACCAAGAGGAGAGAGATTCGTGACTTCTTAGGGTTTCAAGCTACTTCTAATGTGGGTCGCTACCTTGGAATGCCCCTCTTTCATGATAGGGTCTCAAAAAATACCTTTGACTTTATCTTAGACAAGATGGATTCTAGACTCTCGGGCTGGAAGGTGAATGTACTCTCCTTTGTAGCTAGGCAGACCTTAGTCTCGTCAGTGGTTTTGGCAATCCCAAATTATGCTATGCAGACTACATCGCTCCTAGCTTATACTTGCAAGGATATTGACAAGCAGTGTTGAAATTTTCTGTGGGTAGCACTAGCCTTACTCGGCGACCCCATTTGGTTTCTTGGGAAGCTGTGCGTAGGAAGAAAACTGAAGGGGGCTTAGGGCTTCAGCCGGTGAAGAGGCAAAACTCAACTTATATGATTAAACTAGGCTGGGGTCTTGTCAAAAGAAGGGATGCTCTTTGGGTCAGTTTTTTACGGGAGAAGTATAAGTGTGGAAGTGATTTTATTCCTAGAGTGGAGAAGAGAAGGGATAGTTCCCAAACTTGGGTGGGTATATCCAATAATTGGGATCATGTGAACCAACATGTTCGACTTAAATTGGGTGCGGGGAACCTTGTAAACTTTTGGTCTAACCCATGGCTCTCGCATGGTGTCAAACTCATTGACCACATTGTTTGTGAGATTCCTAAGGAAGCGAGAAGTTGGAGAGTGGTCGATGTCATATCAGATTTAGGGGGTTGGGATTAGGAGAAGTTTGACTCTTATCTTTCTCATTCAGCCTTAAGACTTATTCGTGAATCGAGAAGTTCGAACCACAAGTGATGTGACCTGCCTATTTGGATTGCTTCTCCAGATGGCAATTTTTCTCTAAAATCTGCCTATAGTCTGCTCTCAAAGGACGGCCACGAACCATGGTCATTCTAGAGACATTTGTGGAAGATCAAAGTCCCTTAGAGGTGCCTCACTTTTCTCTGGATGGGAGCCCGAAATAAGTTATTAACTAACAAGTCGCGTTTTAAGAAAGGTCTTCATACTACAGGAAGATGTGAGATTTGTGGCATCTCTACTGAAACGACATTGCATGTGCTACGTGATTGTGTTATTGCTTCTATAGTTTGGCGTCTTTGTGTTCCAAGGAGATGGAGAAACCACTTCTTTCAAACTCAGGAGGTAGATGAGTGGGTTCGACGCAACATATGTGTTACAGCTTCTGTGGAAGGTTTTGCTTGGAAACAATGGTTTGAGATCATCTGTTGAAACCTGTGGCTCGCACGAAATGACAAAATCTTTAACAGAGTGGTGCCAAACCCCCAGGACATTCTAGCTCGATCTCATGCCTCTCTCCTATGGGGTCAAGTGAAGCTCGGTGCCTTAACGGCAGAGCAACATCAACAATGGGAACCACCTAGAATGGGAACCATCAAATTCAATGTGGATGGGTCTTTTGATGCTCAGAAGAATGCTCGAGGATGCATTGGCCTAGTGAGAGATCACAACAGCAAGACCCTGTGTGGGTTCTTATTCCGGCCCACTCATGGGTCTACTCTTACTACTGAGATCTGGGCAATTTTATGGGCTCTGAAGGTTGCATGGATCAGGGTTTTCGAGACGTTATCGTGGAAAGTGATTGCACCGAGGCCGTTAATGCTGTCGCTATAGGGGTGGAGGAACATCATCTCGATGTCGATCTAGCAATGGAGGCACAACAGATGCTGAAGCGAGAGTAGATGGTCGATCTCTCTATTTGCGACAAAGACAAGAATCATACTGCTGATGCGTTTGCAAAGTTTGCCAGCTCGATGAGAATGGATATGTTGGTATTCACTGAGGTTCCGGAACAACTACGTCTATGTGGACTAATGCTTGTTACTTAGTACAGTTTCTTTGTATCTCTTGTTTTTTTTTCATAAAAAAAATGTAATTTATTTTATAACTTTCAATTTGGATTTGTCTTAATATTTAATGCATTTTTTAATTTTATCATTAATTATTTATTCTCTCTCCTTTTGCCATAATAATTAATATTTCTTATCACATTTTTTCACACATTCTATTTGATTATATTTCTCATTTATTATAAGGGCATATTTGAAAAAAATATTTATAACCTATGTATTGTTTTTAATTAATTTTAAATAATTATTTGTTATATGTGAATTAGTTATTTAAAACTTATAATAAGAACTGAAAATAGTACAATATTATTGTATTTGATAGATGACAATTTTTTTTTGGGCAAATATTCCATAGATAACAATTGGTATGCTTACTTTTGCCAATACATTCAAGTTTATTAACTTGATCTTTTTTTTTTAATTTTTGGGTTTCTTAAAAATCCTAGACATGTTCCCAGGTGGAAATATTCAATTTTCTTTTAATGAAACACATAACTCGAAATGATTAGTTTTCTTTAATGAATCAATAGTAGTAATAGCTTATATTTTCGTTTATAGCCAACAAACTAATGGCTGAATGGTATCACTATTAAATGATCTTGATTTTAGCGGTGATACTGATTTAGTAGAAAACACTTGACTCAAAGTTGGATGAAAAATATAAAGAAAAATTGTAATGAGGTCCCGTCCAAGGGAATTAAATATAAAAAGATCCCTTGAAATCATCAAATTACTCTAAAGTCTCAAGAGATCTCATTGCAATAAACTTTATTTGTTTAATTACCAGATTACTCTTAATTTTTTTTAAATCTGTATTGACAACTTGAAGAATAGTTATTGACAACTTAAAATGTAAGGATCAACACCTATCGCGATAAGTATTGACAACACATTTTCTCAGCACATCACAAAATGTAATGCATGAGCTATTAATACCTATCACAATTGTTATCCATTCTTACAACTTAAGTTGTCAACGACTGTTCTTTCAATTGTTATTACAAAAAAAATAAAAATAAAGACAACTTGGTAATTAAATAAGTGATTTCAAAAAACCTTTTTGTATTTAATTCTTTTAGGTGGGACTTTGTTACAATTTTTCCAAAAAATAATATTTGACATGGTTTTAGAAGCAATTAACTTTTTAGATAAAAATTAGTTGAAGTGACTTTTATTTAAGTTTGTAGTTTTTGACTTTGATTTGAACATTTTGAAATTTCCTTTTTAACATATTATCCGAATAAATTTATGCGAAACTGACTGTTTAACAAAAAAATTATTCGGATATAAATCACATCACACATTAATTTTGATCTCAAATTTTGGTTTTCAAAAGTGACATGTAATAAAAGTTACTTTTGTCACCATTCATCCAAATTCCAAACAAGGCAAAACATAGGAGGATTTTCTTTTGGGAAGATGGATGCCTGCTAATCAGAACTAAAGCTGGGCTTCAACAATGGCGGCGTATCTATTGTCAGAACGCATGGAAGAGGGCAGGAGCTAAGACCTCGCATGTGATGTGAGCTTCTTAATTATTTATTAATATTCTCTGTGAATTGATCAGAGGGGCTCTACAGAACGCGGATCAGGCATTTTCAAAGTCAATGTCTTGCATCTTTTATATGTCTCATATATTCTCGTCTCCTCACAGCACTTGCAAATCCAAGACACAGCTGCGAGGCGACTTTTCTGGGAATGGGAATCCTTCTCAAGTGTTTCGGAGGCTCTGCTTCAACATCTGCGAAACAACCTTCCACCTCAGTAGAATATCTCTGCCATCGCTTTTCTCTCGCCGAGCTTCGAAAATCCACCAACGACTTCCACGAAAGCCATTTTCTCGGCCAAGGCCGGCATGGTCCGGCGTACAGGGGCTCCATCTCCATCAACGGCCAACTGAAAGATATTGCAGCGAAGCGTCTGGGAACCCGATCATCGATTTCCTCAGACGGTCTCACTCTGTACAAGAACGACGTCGTGTTCATGTGCCAGCTCCACCACCCGAATCTGCTGTCTCTGGTTGGGTTCTGCGACGATAAGAATGAAATGATTGTGGTCTATGAGCATGCCCCAAACGGATCACTCCGGGGTCTACTTGGGAGCAAGTCGCCGACGTTCACGTGGAAGAAGAGGCTGGAAATCAGCATCGGAGTGGCGCGTGGGTTACACTACCTTCACTCAGGAACAAAACGCATCATCATTCATCGCAATATAAAATCGGCTTGCATTCTTTTGGGCGAGAACTGGGTTCCCAAACTCTCCTATTTCGGGTTCTCTCTAAGAGGACCCAAGTTTTCAGCGAAGGACATGAAACCCTCAGGCTGGAATCGGTCAAGGGCCCTAAGGGATACATAGCTCCTGAGTGCTTCGGCGGCAGTAACGTCACGTACAAATGCGACGTTTATTCATTTGGTGTAGTTTTGTTAGAACTCATTTGCGGAAAGACGTTATCTCAAATCAGTGAGCCTGAGGGGCGTCAACTTGAGAATACTGCAGATTTTTTCCAATTCACGTGGAGCGTGGCTGAGAAAGTACGTAATTTGGCAGGAACAGGAAGAGCTGAGGGAATTATTGATGAGATTTTGGTGGGACACATAGCCGCAGAGTGCTCGAAATTGTACATGGAAATTGCAGAGAGTTGCTTGAGCGAGGATCCTAATGAGAGGCCAGATATGGGAGATGTTGAAGGTCAACTTGAACGGCTGTTAAAACTGCAAGAGGAAGCAGATTCTAACAATGCTTCCTTGTGATTTAATTTCTCTTCTTGTTTGAATCTTTCCCATGCTTGTTTGTGTTTCTGTTTGGTTTAAAGGAGGAGAAGAAAGGACTAAGGAGAGAGATTAAGTTGTTGATGGGTCTTTGCAAACTTTGTAAAATGTTGAATAAAAAAATATGATTATAATTGTTATTTGATATATAAAATTATACTTTTGTAATTATCAAAACTTTCTTATTTGAAAGATTATAATATCATTTTAGAAACACCCATATATCTATATTAAACTTTATCAAAGTGTCTAATGAGAAAAAGTGAAATTTTATACGTTAAAAAAGTTATATGTTGACTTTCATTAGGTGATACAACTGATTTTTTTTATAGGAGGGTCGAAGACAAGGGATAATTTTTTTAAAATACCATGGTAGTTTGGAATTTTGAAAATACGAAAAGCATAATGTAGTTAAAAATATTTTTTCTCACTCCCCTCCCTCCATTAAACACCGAACAAACAAACAAGGGAAAGGGAGCAACTCTTCTTTCCTAACCTATCATTCCTAACTAGATTCTAAAGATTTAACCTCTCATAACTTATTTCTACATTATTGTCAGTATTTTCCGCCTCTTGATGTCTTCGATATAGTTGGACGTGTAATTTGGGCTGGTACTTTAAATAAGAAAAGATACTGTCTTGTTCATAGTATTTACCAAAAAAAAACAAAAAAAGGTTTTTACCCCAATACCACGCAAGTATTTGGCTAGTACTACACAGCATACCTGCTTATGTCAGACGTAATAGCCATTGGCTTGATGCTTAAATTATATTGGAAGTTGTGACGGAAAAAAAATGTTATTTTGGCTTTCTGAGTTAAGGCAAGACGAACGTGTACACGTGCGATGTGAGCATCTTTATTTAATTATTAATTGATTAAAGACAGGAGACAGAGTCAGCATTAGTGGCCGCAGTTGTGATACATCGAATGTTGGTGTTCATATCATTGACTCAAACCTTAAAAATAATGTTGGGGTCTACAAAGCGCGTAATTAAATCACAGGATGAAGCAGCAGGCCATTGAAACACAATAAGCTATGCTAGCTACCCAGCTTGAAGAATCGACCATAAGAAATTGCGGTGAAGCCCGGGTCTCCCCAAGAACGAAATTTTTTTACAAGGGATAACAATCGGCATATTAACTTAACGTGGGAATGAAAAGAAGGCTGTCAGATAAATGACCGTCTGTGATTCTAGAATTATTGTTAGAACTAATAATATGCGGAAAAGAGCAGAACTACATGTAAGTGAACCGTGATTGGTACTGAACAAAAGCGTTATAGCACAAGCCGATCTGTCATCCAGGTACAGAGGTATCCACAATTCCACATATCCCATCTACAAGATATTACATCGTTTGCAGTAACAACTAATGATCTTCAATTCATGATTCATACAAAAAGTGTTGGTAGCATCCCCAGTTCTTCACATGAAATACTGGCGTTGTTTAAGACAGCAGCAGTAGTATCAGTTTTCGATGCATGAAATCATAACTGCAGATCTCAGCTGGCTGCTGAAACACAAATTTACTCGTGGGCACACTGGCAGTGTGTTTAACCATACTTCATGGAAGGACTGGTAGCGAATCTGTCCAAACAAAAAGTAAATAGCTTGTTAAGTTATTATAACTTCAGCTCACAGCTCTTACTGCATGTAGAATAAACATTTTCTACTCTCAGTTCATACAAGTCTTTTCACGGGTCACAGCAATATGCTCCCATTTTTCAGTTGTCCTACAATTAAAAAAAAATAATAATTATAGAAGACAACCTAACAAGCAATCTGGGATAACATCTCCACATCAAGAAACTATTTATATACTCTAGAGATTTTGACGTGACTGTGAACTGCTATTGCTAAGTCTAACTACGATTAGAAATCAAACGGCCTTAAAGTGCATGCTCAGAATGTATGCTGAGTAGTTCATGATAGAGGCATCAAGTATAAACTACAAATTATATCTTATATTTAAAATCGGTGGTAGTATTACAAATAACAATACGATGCATCAACTTTTACAACAAGCCCAAAATCATGCTACTTCCTAGCTGTCAAGAGTAATTTCTTCAGCAGCAGTTATGAAATGCCTCTGTCATCAAACTAGCAGTTATGTTTTGTAAGGGTTAATATAATCTTTGGTCCCTTAAATTTGCCCTCATTTTTGTTTTGGTTCCTCAAGTTTCAAATTCTAGGTTTTGGTCTTTTAGGGGCAAAATAGTTTAAGTTTTTATTACATTATAGGGACCAATGTTTTAAATGAAAAAAAACTTGAGAGACCAAAACCTATGATTTGAAACTTGAAACCGAAATAAGAACAAACTTGAAAAACCAAAAATTGTATTAACATGAATAGGGTCTATACTGCGAAGATTAGTGATATGAAATTCGACATGTCTTAGTTGAGAAATTTATGAATTATTTTAGGTCTTACTTATTACAAGGTTAGGATTTTTCAATCGTCTAGATGTCTTTTTAAGTTCATCTTATAATCAGTCTCTGTTTTCAAAGTATTATATGAGAAGAAAAGAAAAGAGGGGGTTTTTTTGGCTTTTTCTTTTTGGGGGGGGGGGGGGAGGAGCCACCTGCCACTGTATGGTGTGCCACCACGCGCACAAGTCTTCTCATTCATTACATTCAGTTTTAACCCTATATTTCAGCAATGTTAAGTTAATAGTTCATGCTACGTGCCACCATTTAATATCAAGATACTTCATTACAAACGTAACATATGTTTTATCTAACCGCAGCATCCAGTGGGTAAATAGCTAATAGATCACAAAACTAATAACTTATCCAATACACAAAAGCACCAACACAAAAAACAAACAAATCATTTTTCCTCTTTCCTGAATATACATGTAAGTTTTGTATCCATTCAATTTCTCTGCACCCTCTGGTCTCCTTTACTATAAATTGTCAAACTTAATATTGATTTGATTGCAAATAAAATACCTAAAGCGTATAGTTCATAATCTTCTATCAATCAGCAATTGAACCCACAGTAACAATAACTGCACAAACCATGATAAACTAATTAAGATCTAAATGCACAGAATTATAGGCTTTAAAAATGAAAATATTACATGCAAACTCAAAGTCAAGCTTATAAAAATCCAATTATCAGCATGAATAACTTAGGGCCTATGGGTGTCAATCAATCTTAAGACCCTATCAGAAGACATCTTTCCACCCAAGTGACTGGCTATGTGAAATAGGAATCCTCCTATAGTCCAACCACCAAAGGTCGTTGGCAAGACTTGGACATAATGGTGACAATTGGCAAACCATTTAACATTTGTGGCTGAATTCCTAAGAAATTACTGGGATGAGGAAAAGAGAGCTTCTGCATGGTAGTTGGAATCAGCTTATGTCTAAAAGATTTATGCTTTGTGCATAGTTCTAAGATGAGAGATGATACAAAAATTATAAAGACTTGCTGAAGACATAAAAAGATTTTACATCCTAGTGAAACCTCCCACTTTAGTGAGCATTGTCCATTGAGCATGACCTTTTTTTTTTTTTTTTTTTGAAGTGAAGCATTGAGCATGACTTTGACTGAAAGATATATTTTAGTGTGTGTGAAAACTTGTCCATTTATCTAAGAGAACTATTCTCTGAAAACAATTGCAAACATTTTATGGCCTTAAATTTTTATATCTTTCAAAATAAATTAGAAAAGAAAGCAAGAAAAACAGGCCAAAAATCATGGTTTTTTTAATACAGGCAAGTACCTGAGGATCATTCAGATATTACTCCAACTCAGATACCTCTTCTGAATCAGACAATGGCAAGAGGGTGCAGATGCCACGCACATGTCCATTAAGGCACACATAATACTCAATGCCATCTTCATCGGCATCCACCCTGCAGCTAGCACTTTGGGGAATCATTTTGGCTTGCAGCATGCTCCACAACTTTGCCTTACAATAAGGGCAAACTTCTGTGGGATGGAGCTTTGCACCTTTTTTTATAAGCATCTTCCTGACCTTTGATGTAGAGAATGACTTAAAAATTCCACGGAAGAATCCTATATCACCTTGGTCAAGATGCTCACAAGGATCAGACACATATAAAACATCAGTTCTGCATTGCGGCAAAAGAAAGCTCTTGCCTGATGTTCTAGAAAATCGAGTCCGATAAACAAAGTGGCCAGGGATATGAATGTTATTGAACAAACCACCCTTGTTGCATCCGGAACAGTAAATTAGCAGCTTCCCTAGAGCCCTCCAGTTTCCATCAACACTGTGGCTCCCACTAGATTGTAGATCAAGCATCATTTTTGGTGCTCTGGTTCGGCAAAACTCCTTCCATAGTAATCTCTTAGCAAGATCATCAAACCACTTGCATACACATGACAGAGCAGCAATTAACTTGGGATTCCAATTTAGTCGTTGAAATACCAAGAATATCACATCTTCACTTAAATGCCCCTTAGTGCATTGACAGCTAGCTGAGTGTACGCAACGGTATTGCTTGTTAAGAATCATTTTACTCACCTGGTCAAAGAGGGAAGAAAAAGAATTATTACTCATTTGAATACCTTCGAATGTCAGCACATTGCATTAGATGGTCCGTATTAGTCAGGATAACACCAGGCACAAGAAATATTTTTCACCCAAGTAATAGCTTATAAAGGTGTTGACACAGTTTAATATATTCTATTAAACCACCAAGACACATGTGAAGTTAATACAATATACTCCTCCTGTCCTAAATATAAGACCCATTTTACAGTATAATTCAAGGTAAAGAAATAAAAAATTTTCTAATCTCTTCTTTTTTGAAATTTTGGATATATATTAAATTTCCGTTTATTGTTATCAAATTACTAAAGTCCTTTTTATTGGGATAGTAAGACTGTCAGACGATCTATTAAGTACCACCTCTCTTTTCATGCTCAAAAGGCTTTAATCACCTGTAAAGGCTAAGGTCAAAATTTTAGCAAGAATTAAGAAAGGTCGAGAGATACAGATACATTTAGACAAGATATATCTATAGTATAAGCAAGCAATGATGCTTGGGTAGAATTGAAAAACGTCAGAAGAATTCCAAATAGGGGAGTAATAGATCTGGAATATAATTTATTAGGCCAGAATTCGCAGAGATAGTCAATTAATTTCAATAAGCATGGGCCCAAATTAATTCAGCAATATAAAACTAATGCCAAAGCAATCAAACCAAGCTAAATTTAACAACAAATTTCACGCATATACGAATTCCGGTCATCCCATAATCCCCAACTCAACCATAAAGAGGCAACCTTTGAATCCCACTAACAGCCACAATCTAAAGGACATTTTTATACATGTCAAAGAAAGCACGTCAGTCAAGGCAAATGGCAAATGACAGCATTTAAATCCTAACAATCACGAAAATATCCAAAAAGGTTACTTTTTCCACCGCATTCTCTTAATGCATGTTAACCACTTCCACAAGTTCAGGTATACAAGTTCATCTAGGTAAAATTATAAGACACTCCCATGAACTACCCCGTAAGTTAACACCATTCGTCAATACAGGGTGTCCCCCAATTGGCCCTTCGAGATTTCACAGAATCGGCAACCAAAACGAAGAATTTGCGAGAACCCTCGACACAGACGAAGAAATTCAAAGAGAAGAGAAGCAAAGAAACTGAAAGTAGACTAGATCACAGAGGAAGCCAAGTCAGAAAACCCGATTGTACCCTCAACTCAGCTTACGGAAACGGAACCCAGTTTCGGCATAGACTCCAAACTCTAGAAAACCCAATTCTGCATGCAATTGAAAACCACCGTAAAGGGTTGCCCAAACGACAGAGAAAGCCAAATTAATAAGAGAATCGTAGAAAAAATATCAAAATCGATGAAAACAGAGACACAAGCAACTTGCTTACAAGCACCCATCGGTGATCTCAACTGTCTCGAGGGGTAATTCGATCCAGAAGAGCATAAAATACACTTGGAACAGCACGGGCAGAAAATGCAGAGGGGAGAAGAGGACAGTGCGAGGGAGAACGAGATGGTAGGCTAGGCTGGGGGTTCCATCAATGTCCCATGGAGAAGCAAGGGAAAGCATTTTCTTTGACAAATTTATTTCAAAAGCAGCATTAGAGTAACAGTACAGATAAATCGGAAAGATGAACGACAAATAACATGACGACACGTACGAATCTGGTCTAGCCGTCTGGGCGATTAACGCTCAGTGGGTCCGCATTTTCAGACGTGGCATTCGAAGAACAGAAGGTCATTTTCGTAAATTGAGCGATTGCAGCTAGCCTCTCAAGGGTCAAGACTCGACTATAATATCCTGTTTGGACCTCAGAGAAGTATCTCCAGGGGACCTGTACTTTGGTTGAAATGATTCTTTTGCAGCCCGACGAATGCCACGTGTCAGGCTCACAAATTTCCGCCAGTCTTTTTCATCAATATTTTTTGGTAAAATTCTTCCGCTTCGAAAATCGTTTTTATTTGTGCCCACGACGACTCTACCATGCTGCAACTTGCTGCTTTGTTTTCCGCAGTTTTGTCCGATAGCTGATGCTGGCTGATCCAACTTGTTGCTTTCTTTATTGTCCTTTTGTTCCCGGCTTACGCAGCCCAGTTAAGTTATCGTATTTTAGTTTCATCTTTATTCAAGTGGCTAAAAAATTACCAATAAGTATTGATCTAAGTAAAAAAAATTTAGACACCTTAAATATCATATCTTAGATCTGATTTTTTGGATAATGTGTATGGAAAAAATATTATTAGGAGGAGTTCCCACTACGGCACTTAACAATATCTTGAAAAATTAGTTTCTTACTATTCGAATGGGAAGATACTATAAACAATAAAAAAAATGTGGCTAAAAAATTTTTAAATTATTTTTTACTGAAAGATTAAAATAAAAAAATAAATAAAATGCCCTCAAAATGATATGATTAATTCAAAATATAAATTTTCATAATTACCAAAGCCAACAGAATTTACAATTGTGATGTCACTGTCACAAAGAATATACTCCCTCCGTTCCTTATTATAAGAGACAAATAACCAAATTACGTTGATCAAAAAAACAGTTAAAATTAGTTGAGGACAATTAATGTGTAAAAAGTATAATATTTTTTCCAACAATGCCCCCATTAATAAGGAGAGAGAGTATGAGAGAGAACAATTAAATTATTAAAAGAAAGAGAAGTGGGAGGGAGAGAGAGTATGAGTTGGAAACAAATAAAAAGGGGTAAAATAGGAAATCAATACAAAAAAATAGAGACAACTTTTAAGTGTCTCTTATATATAGGAACATGCCATAGACATCAAAGGTCTCTTATAATAAGGAACGGAGGGAGTATTATTTTGCACAAATTTCTAAAGCAATATATCCTAAGAAGAATTGCTATAAATCCCAAAAAATATATATAATTACTAAAAAAATTTTATTGATAACTGAGAAGTCTATAATAACAAATTTTAAAATAAATAATAACAACTATTTATTTATTATTAAGATTTACTGGTAACTTTTATTTCTTGCAGAAAAAAATAAAAATCATTAGAGAGAAAAAGCTAGTTTGTAAAGAACCTTCAAAATAATATTTAATCTTTAAATTGAATTTCTAATTACTTCTTATTATTATTTTTTTTTTTTCTTTGAGCAGAGTTTTACAGGGTAAAAAATTGACGTGCTTTGTCTTTGTTTTTTTTTTTTTTTACCAGAACGTGCTTTGTCTTTGTTGGACTTTGCAGAATGAGAAGATTGGGATTCAGATTGAGGTACGAAGAAAGATACTAGTCTTTAGAGGCAACCTTACGAGAAAAAACAATAACCTTATCCGATTAAATAAGTGTCAATTTACAACAATAGCGTGATATTATTGTCCTTAGTCACCACCAAAACAAAATATCATTGTCCTTTGTTCAATACCGATTCTTCCGATAAGCCATTAATTATGAGATTTCGACTACTGATTTCTTTTTCCTTAAATGTTCTTCTTGGTTTTCTTTCACCTCCCTTCATAAAAGTTAAAGATTATATGCTCATTCTTTCTATTATACTACCTCCAGTTCTCAATATAAGAATTTATTTAATTTTTATTTTAATCCTAAATATAAGACAGTAATCTACTTTGTCTCTTATATTTATATTTTTTTTTCAAAGTAGCTCTTCTAATAATGATAGCTATAACTAATACACTTGATTAGTAAGAATATTTTAGAAAAAACAACACATATTTATTACAAATAACTAACTTAACTTCTTTTCTTAATCTTCTCAATTTAGTCAACTGATTCTTATAATTAGGATCGGAAGTAGTATTTCTGATATGTTGTTCTAGTTAAGCTTTGTCATCGCCTTTTACTTAAAAAAAAACAGAAAAGAAAAGAAAAGAGAAAGAAAAAGATCTTTTTCCCCACGGAGCTTGTAAACGACGTTCTAATAGAGCAATTTTTTGTTTTTTTTTGTTTTGGGTCTGAGTTCTAATTGAGCAACTTTGTTGATCTGAAAGAGACCGGCTCATCCGTCACCGAAAACAAAAAAGAAAAGAAAAAGAAAGATACTGGCTCATTTAATGAAGGAGAAGAAAATTAGCAACATAATGAAGCTATAAAGGCATATATAGTACAAAGTTTATATAAATCTCGATCGCATCGAAAAAATTAGGCAGGCCATGGCCCCGCCAATCCCCCTTTTCTACGCCTTACAAGTGTGATTGAATTTTTTGTTTTATAAAAAGATCAATTTTATAAAATGGAAAAAAATTATACAATTAAAGTTGGAGTTAGGTACAACGAAAGAAATTAATACCTCACATCCCTACTGAGAGAGGTACTCATATTTAATGCTTGATAGTGCCTTACATATGATTACCTTCAATAGAAAAATACATATATACATATTTTTTTTTTAAAAAAAAAAAGAGGATTGCCTCCAAGGATAGGTGTACATGGAGGAAAAAATAAAGTCGGAATAATAAAGTTCAGGAAATGGAATTGATACGCCATCAGTTTTGGAAACAGTGTGACTAGGAAAAGATTGAAAAAGAGTGATCGAATTGATTGAATGAAAAGTATTATATGTTTCTTTAATTGAAGGGGAAAAAACGTGAGGAGAAAACTACCCCTTCAGATCTAAAAAGGCTCTAATCAAATACAGTAGATTCTGAAAGAAGTAAAATGCCAAAAAAAAAAAAAATTGGGATTAAAACATAGAAACTCTTATTAAATTGGTTAAAAGAAGGTTGACTTCAATACTCTAATTTAAAGATGACGTCAAAAGAAAAGAGCTATGGCTTCGAAGATAAGAGGCATTAGCTCTCAGGAACGATCCTTCCCCGATTAGCAAATTGGGACAGCCTATATGTAAAAAAAGTTTCTTCTTCTTTTCTTAAATTAATTAAAAAAAGGACATATGGGACATGATCATCAACTGTTAGGGAGTTTGCCTTTCTCCGATTAGAAGAACGAAGTCATTAGAATCACTGTTTCATTAAAAGAAAAAAAAAATCAATCACATTATGTATGGACTACCAACACAAAGTATATGACGTTTTAATGTTTCAAAATGAACACAATGCCCCTTTCAACTCTATCCAGCGCTTCAAAAAAAAAAAACACTCAAGGCAATTATTCTTATATCCACAAGATTAGATTTATTTTTCCACCAGTTCTTTACAAAGCAAATGCCAAAAAAAAAAAACCAGAAATGGGATCCCCAGATGATTAAATGCCGGTGCTTGCAGACAGTTTTTTCTCTTGGAGAGAGATGACAGTTTCAAAGGCACCAACCAAAGCTTTGACCTTGCTCTTCCTACTTTCAGCCAATTTAGTTGCTGTTTCTTCAATCACATTATTAAACAACCCTTGTTCATCTTTCTTTCCCTGCACATCTTGATGTCTCAAAACAACCTTCTCAGCACCAGTTTTAGCATCATTGCTTTCATCAACATTTCCATCCCTTCTTTTATAACATCTTCTCAGAACTTCACCCTTCCCAGTGTCAGTGTCCCCCAGCATTCTTCCTCTCCTAAATTTAAGCCTCCTCGGACTTGATTTTTCAGAGTTAACTTCAACCCATTTTCCCTTTTTAAACTTTAATTTTGTCATTTGGGAGCGGTCCTTGTCTTGAGGATCTACAACCCCATCCTTTTTAGGATTGCCTTTCTGGTCCACCTCCAAATCATCTCCATTTTCTATGTGCTCGTCTTCAGCCTTTACTGAAATCCAATCCTCCTCAACTTCACTGGTCGTATATTCATATTCCTCTTGGTCATCTTGGGGTGAGGATTGAGAAGACGAAGAGCATGAAAACTTGGGCGACGCCAGCAACTGAGGGAGGGGCAATTCAGCATCATGACTTGCATTTTCATCGGATTGCAAAATTTTGTTTTCTCCGGCGATCTTGATGACATGCAAAGTCTTCTCCTCGACCTCAACATCACTATGTTGCTCACGTCTGTCTTTTATGGTCTTCTCCTCAACTTCAACATCATCATGTTGCACAGGTCTGTCTTTTCTGGTTTTCTCCTCAACCTTAACATCATTGTGTTGCACAGGTCTGTCTTTTTTGATCTTCTGCTCAACCTCAACATCACTGTGTTGCTTAGGTTTGTCTTTTCCGTTTTCAGAATGATCCTTAAGATGAGGCCCAATTTTCAGGCTCTTGTACTTTCTTGCATTAATACTTGCCACTCTATGAAAGGAAGGTTTGAGGGGCAAAGAAGCTCTTAAAGGTGTATTCAATTTTCTACCAGCTACTTTGGAGGTGGCGACTCTCTTCTCCACTCTGAGCTCGCTTTTTCTTTGGCTACTGAAACCTTCAGAGGGATTCTTCAAAAACAATGTCTTCTCTGTGACAGAGTTCGGTTTTGAAGATAACTTCATTTCTTTAGCTTTGAAGGCAGCACTTGATTTTGATGAAGCTTCCACTTTCTTTGATGCCGATGAAGTTTCTTGTCTCCCGGTCTTGGAAAGATCAGCCGTATGAGATTTCAGAGAGTTTGATGGTTTGACCTTGATCAATGCTGTCTTCTTGTTTCCTGAAAATTCATTCACTACTTGTTTTGAGTTTTCAATTGGTTTTGTTAGTATTTCCTGCTTATTCTCATGCTTCCCAAGTGTCCCACGAATTTGCAGTGCAGAATCAACAGATGCTGTGAGCTTGACTGAAGATAACTTCCTTGTTGACTTGGAACCAGTTGATGCTCTGAGCTCATCCACTGATGTCATCGTCCACCTACACCTACACTCCTTAGCGATTGCTGATGACCTGGTTTTCTTGCAACTCTCTTGAGTATGGATCGATTTTCATTAGCTTCAAATGCATGCTTCCTCCCATATTTACAAAAATCATGACAGGAACCAGTAGAAGCTCTGAGATAACGAGGAAGAACTTTTTCTTCACTATTTCCAGAACTTACTTTTCCAGTGGAGCGCCTTCTCAATTCAACCCCACTTGACTTAGTTATTTCTGGGGTCACTGGTGAATCAACACCGTTTTCAGCCATCAGACAAGAGATGAGATGTGAAGAACAGACCTCTGGACAAAGAGACAATCCTGAAATTAGAAAAAGAACAATAACTTTAAATGAAGCAAAAATACAGAGCCTTAATAGAACTTACAGTAGTAGGAGACAAGTTAAAGCAAAACAATTAATCTTTTTTTTCCAGTGTTGGGATGGAAAGGAATGCAAATATGACACATTCAAACATACCCTTAGATTAGAAACCTTGGCCCTGGCAATAATAATAATAACAGTTCAGAATCTTTAAAAGTACAACATGGAAGAAAAATATTTTATGGACTTCTCTTGAAATTCTTCCCCCTGAAAAAACATTAAAATTGTTTTCGTGCTCTCTTCTGATGTGAATCTCATAGTTAATGTCTCTAAGTGGAAAGTTTATAGGATCTTGACTGCAATGCCAAGGCAACAACTGTAAGAAAGGCCTAGGCCAGCAATTATTCAAAATAAGACAGCATCAAATTGGCCTGCCTTTTCATCTTGTTTTGCATATCATTCTTTTCCACTCAATCAAAATTAACAAAATCTCTTGGTTGTTACGATGAATAAGATACCTGACAGATCACTAAGTGACTTTTGTGAAGGAGGAGCCAGCAGTAAAGCCTTAACGAAGGAAAAAGTGAATCAAAGTATAGTGCAAGAACCGCGATTAAGCCAAACATCCAGTTTCCCGAACATTCCCGGTAAACAGCATTGTAATGTTTTGCGAACCTTGAATCGCCTACTACTATTATGGTCGCACCATATGTATCATAATCGTCCTCAGGCATTTCTAATATTTAAATGCCCCTAATATATAAAGGTATTTATCAAATACAACAATTGGGTAAACCATCAAAGGCGAAGAGAAGTGACAAAATCGATTAGGAATGCCGGAATAAAAAGCAGGACTCTTGGTTACTACTAAACTAAATTTACGGTTTTATCATGTAACTGATATGTGCAAAACCTTCATTATGGTAGAGCCACCAGGCAAAACTCATCATGCAAAAAGAAAATGCACTGAAAATTACCCGTTATTGATCATTCAGCAGAAACCCACATCAAAAACCCATCGCAAGCGTGACGGTTAAGCTACCTTCACGGACCGCCGTATACAACCATGTCGAAAGACATTTCAATCCATGAACCAAAAGGAAACAAAGCGAATCAAAACCAAACAAACACAAGAGAAATAGGACTCAGAGAGAGTTCAGAAGATCAATCCCAATCGCTAAAATCATAATTTTCCGCAAACCCGTTTGGGTAGATGAAAGAGAAATGGAACCCAGATAAAGATTTCAGCAAAAGGCAGGGTTTAAAAAAAAAAAAAAAAACAGCTTTTGGGCTTTCGCCTTGCTTAGCAACACGTACAAATAGCACACCTTTGCATATGATTCCGGGCTCTGGTAAAGGCTGCTCAGCCAGAAAGCGGAGAAAAAGCAACGGAATAACACGCCGGCTCGAGGAGACGAGTAGAGGGAACAGTCCTTTTACTGTTATATTTGTGTGAGAGATTTGGCTTCAGAGAACGTGCAGGCAATTTCAGTGGGCTTTGCTCTTCGCGTTGGTTTCAGAATCCAAAGAGAGAGATGATGAAGGGGGTGCAATGTGCAAAGCGTGAGCCTTGGGCATTGAGTTGTGGGTCGCACTCCCAAAACTGACCAAGGAATTTTGAATTTATATTTTGGGACAAAAATAAACAAGTAATGAGTAGTTATTATTGAAAATGATTATTAAGGTATTTGGTTTATTAGTTAGTCAAAAATATGAAATTAGTTTCCAATTTTTTCCCAGCAAGGGATTTCAGATTTGCATATGACTATGAATCTAGTTTTAATTTGAAAGATTATGTGATTACTTATAAATTATAGATTTTTGGTTGGCAAAAAAATTTAGATTTTTAAACTTTTCATTATTTTCATACCTAATGATATAATTTGGAATTTATAAAAAACAAAATCGAGTTGTTTATCTTGTTTTTTTTCCAACTGCATTATCCCTTATTTTGAATATAACAAAAAATTTCAAAAATAAAATAGGATGTCCATATGGTATTTTGCTATGGCAGAGATTAGAGGGTAAGTGTTGAAAATTCCAAAGAATGATAAGGTAATTGATTTCATTGGAAAGATTATTCATGGAATCATTATTTTGAGACAATTCAATTTGAGATCCTTTTTTCAAAAATGTTATTCACATTTTTGATAAAAGTATTCAGTATTTCCCAATCAATGTATTGAAAAAGTGCATCCTTTCTGGTTTGCACATTCAATCGAATCCTCACATCATACCAATCTTCAAAAGTACATCTCTTAACTCCACATAATAAATCATCAAAAACAAATAATTCTCTATTTTAAAAAACTATCACCTCATAATTGAATTTCTTTTCTTTTTTTTGGTTTACTTTGAGGCCATATGTAAAAGTTTGATCACTCTTGATAACTTTATTGAAAAAATATAGCAAAAAAGAAAAAAAATGCCACGAAATGCGTTGATTTATGTGGCTATTCAACCAAGTTTGTTTGGATTTGTCATAAAAAAAATTAATTTTGCATTGTATGTAAATATATGAGATGAGTTATACCTTTAAAAACATTTTTTTTAAAAAAATACTTTTTTAAGTTCTTCACAGATCGTTTCAACATCTAAAATAATTAAAAATAAATGAGGGCATAAGTTTGGTTGAATAGTTTAATGAATGGTGCATATGTGATGATAGTTTAATTATAGCATTTAATGACATGTCACTTCGGTCATTATGTACCAGAAAATGAAGTGGTAAAATCTGCCTACCACCGTTGAAAAGGAAACGAGAAAGGAAGAAAAGTACACCAGCGTATATAATTATATGTGCATGCATGGTCACGTTAAGTTCGTATTAATTGTTTATTACCGACTTAATAAACAAAATAATTATTGGTAAATAATCACCGAATTGAGATATGTGGGTCACTAAAGTTTGCAATTTCTTAATTAATTATGAATGGATAATCTTTTGTCATTAATAACAATTGCCTTCAATATCTTCAAGACCAAGTTTGTTGCTTCTCCCGCCACAGATCTAACCTTATTAACACCTCAAGACAAAATTTAACAACATGCCATCCACATTTATTTTTTTGTAGGCAAAATATGAATCTAAGACTTATTTAAAGTGAATAAATATTTGTCAACAACAAATTGCTCCAATCATAGTGCCACCTGTCATATTTAAATCAGGTTCTAGGCTTGAGTAGCTTGTGTATTGTTTTTGGCCAAGGAAATCAAGAAAATCTTTATTTTATAAATTATGATTTTTATCTTTAAATCAAACAAGGCCAAGAGCTTGATAAAAATGAAGTTGGTCGGTATATTTTAGGAATATTATCAATGTGATATCGTACCATGAATTGTGACGATATATCTATGAAAAAAAAAAAGTTCTTAAAGATATATTTAATTAATACCCTCTTTAATGGCAGCAAAGCGTGCTCACCACTCAAAGTATGAGTAACATTGAAGAAATTAAGGGGGTTTTATTTTATACTGGTCAAAAGAAGGGGGGTTTTATTTTAGAAAAGTCAGCTCTTTATGCTTTTATTTTTACTTTAGAAATGGTGTGTGTACCTGTGTATTCTAAGAGTTACTTTAGAGGGTTTGTTCAGATAAAATAAAAATACTCTCTCCCATTCTTATTACAAGACATCTCTAACTAGCTCATCAAGAGTTAAAAAAAAAAAAGTGATTAAGCCATTAATTTTATCTAAAAGTGAAGAAAAATCAAGTTTGCCAAAGTGACAGGGGTTGCAATTAATGAGATTTTAAATGGGGATAATCTTAGGAAAATATAATTAATACCCCATTTAGTGGTTTATGATAAACACTGTCTACTTCTTGTAGAAGATACTGGAGGGAGTATATAGCAAAAGAGAGAGGGAAATGACATGGGTGTTAAAAGCTGGCTGTGGTAAGTGAAGAGGGAGGGGCCATTTGAATGGAAGCATTCAGTGTAAGAGGGAAAAGAGGGAGATGGTCCCATCTCAACCACTTTGTGAAGCTGAATTTGGCCTCCACCATTTACACCCCCCCCCCCAAAAAAAAAATGTCCCTTATTTTGTGTGTGTATGTGACAAATCAAACTTGGTTGATTAATTTGTGGCCACAGAAGAAAAGGGGGAAAAAGTTGGATGCATCAATGCAGGGAAGCATGAATGCACATCTTTAGGCACTAACAAAGCTGTGGTTCTCACAACAACCTCACACATAAGCAACTGAAGGACATCAATTCAAAAAGGAAAAAGCAAAAAATACACAATTTAATAATTCATCAAATCTCCTTGGATTTCTCGTCTCAATCTAGAACGATGAATGAGCTTTATGTATCCTGGCAAAAAAAAGAAAAAAGGAATGAGCTTTATGTATATATAAGAGTGCAAGAATTGTCCCCCCCCCCCAAAAAAAAATGTAGATTCTGTACTTGCTAGTTGAAAATTTAATTAGTGATAATTAAACATTATTGAACAAGCTATGTGAATATAAGAGATAGTGGTTTATTATTGGCATATGTGAATATTATAAGTAGGTAGCAGAACTTAATCAAGTAGGGTGACCCTTCAACTAGGAAGTTTCCAGTTTATCTCTTGAAGATCAACAAAATCAACACTCAATGTCCTTCTCTTCCCTTTTTGGTTTTGAAAAGGTCAAATTGGGTATGCAAAATATGCTGAATCTTTGTTAGGTTGAGCATATCCAATAACAGTAACTTTAACCAAATAAAATTGACCAAAATCAATTAGTTCGTGATGGATTGATGCGGAATTTGACTGAATGAATCTGCTGGTTAGAACAGTTAGTGATAATTAAACATTGTTGACACAAGCTAAGGCTAAACAAGATAGGCCCTTAATTTAATTAGAATTTTTAGCCACACATTAGATGAATTCAGTGATTCCAGATAACCAAACCAAATTCATTGTTATACAATACAAAACAATCACTGCTGCGAAGCAGAACAAATAAATAATAGTAAAAGACAACCTGTCTACGCCAACCATCTTATCCATATTCTATAGCTGGGGGGTCAGTTAGTTGAGAATTAAATTGAACATAATTCTGCTAGCGATTTTTGCTTTGGAAAAACATTGAAGAAACTTCAAGCTTAAGTTTTGTCCTATATGAAGTTCAGATATCATGCAGATATTGGAACCATTCGTTCCTGGATTTTACAACATTTTTCCTATTCAAATGTAAGACATCAAAATCTTCCTGAGAAGGTTCCTACTTTAACAAATATGTACATATTTTAAAGTGTGACCAGGACAAGTTGTTCTATTCTGTCTCACTGCTTCCTGCCCGAGACAGTTTTCTTTACAGCTCCGACTGAAACTAAGAACTGGTCTAAAGATGATAAGGTCCTCATGTCATCTGGAGGAAAATAGCTAGCAGCTTTTCCCATGATCGATGAGAATATGAAAGAGAGCGAAAGCTCACTAACAAATCGCTCGCCCAGAAGCTCATCCAGAAATGCGAATGCTGCCCGGAAATCAGAGCTACTCGCATTTATTGGAGCAGCAAAATGGGCAGGGATTATTCTCTTGAACCTCCAATCCCGAGAAATGCTATAAACCCAGTCACTTACCTACATGGAAAATTCATATTTCATAATCAGATCACCAAACTGAGACTCAAGAAAGTAACTACTATTGATCCAGTTTCACAAACAAATGCAACCTTCCAATTATTTGGTGTCAGGATTTTTACTGTCAAAACAGGCCACAGGCCTGTAAGCCAGCTTGTGTAATCTGTCCCTTGGATGGGTTTGGGCAACTTTCAGGCCCGATTTAATGGATGAAGCATAAATTTTTGGATATAAGTAACCACGACCAATGTAAATGTAGAGTAAAGCAATGCAGATAAGAATAGTTGCTTGGTGATAAATTAACAATCAACATCTGCTTGGTCAAAATCTCAGAACATAAAAGAAATGAGGGGAAATTATACATAGTTCCGGCTAAAAAAATTAAATACAAACAGTTTCCTAAAATTTCATTGAATACTAATAGGTCCTAAGTTAAACTTTCGTATTTTTAAGTCTTCATTTACTAGTCAAATTTACAAATTAATGGTTACAATTCAAACTCTCATATTTACAAGTCAAGTTGTGTCATTTACAAGCCAAACTTATAAATATTCAGTTCCTTGTGACCTATCACAATTAAATGAAATCCGGGAGACCTATCTGTATTTAATTTCTTTAACTGGGTCTTATGGGTAATTTTCCCAAGAAATTATGCAACATAAACAGGATTACCTTTTCCGGAACTTTGCTGAATACCAGTGTCTTCACAATAGGCGAAACAATCAACTTCTGTGACATCTGTTCAAAGCTAGCATTTGGCTCTAAGAGATTCGATGGACCAAGAAACAAGATTTGTAGAACCATTCTTTCCCATCCTACATAACATTGTATAGAACAATGAAGCTAAATTTGACCACAAATGATTTGTGACTGAACTTCAGAAATAAAAAAATAAACCTTTTTGACGGTTCCTTTTGTTGTCAATAACTGGTTCGTCAGGAACTTCCTTTCCTTTACTAAGAATTTTTACTGCCAAACCATTTTTTGCGGATGCCAACAGCGATTCTTTGCTTATACACTCTGGTGGCTGTCTGGGGACAAAAATAACAGCATCCGTCACCAATAGCGTTCTTGAACGCTTATGGTAGAAAGCTACCTCCACATACGGACCAATTCCTGATATAATTTACAAGCAAATGAGATCTTTCTATGTGGAATCCTGGAGATGAAGTATAATGATATACTGTATTTTTTTTTCTTTTTCTCGTAACAGGATATGCTGCGATTATTACCAACTTCTGGGGAGCTTAGAATTTTGTGCTCTATTTCATCAGCCCAGGGGGTAGATGAATCGTCATCTTTCAATGTCTTAGAACGAAAAATCCCAAAAAATTCAAGTGGCAAGTTCAATGGCCAACTCCATTGCCTTGGTGCCACCCACACTTGAGCACGTGGAAACTTTCTAGAAAATGGACCAACAAATATTTTATGCTCATAAGCAAAAGTAGGGAGAACAATATATTCCACGGGAGCCCCCAACTCTTTTAGAAGCTGCCAGAAATAAAACATTCAAGTGTTATTAATCATTTTATTAATTATTCATTTTTAGTCAATAAGAACACTCAGATTACAGATCTCTCCCTGCAGTAAAAGTTATTAATCATTTCATTAAAGGTCAGTCAGATTACACTTATTCCACTATGTGTTTTGGGCTGTAAAAAAGATCAGCACTAAATATATGAGAAAATATGGAATCAGCCCCTGAAGCCCATCGTACCAAGTTAGTTCCAGTTCCAAATTAAACGATACTCCAAGGTCCACACAAAAGTGAACTTCAATATATAGGGGGACATCTTCCGCTTTACAGAAAAATGAAGAGCAGAATTGGCATGTACATGCATTTGCAGTCGCAAAAGCTATTATACGTTTTCATATCCAAAGTAAGGAGAGCTGGTGAAGAAAATGAAACCTTAATACATTCATCAGTTGGAGCAATCGGTGCATGCACCCATAAGCCTCCAGATTTGAGTTTGATAACAGTCATCCTAATGTTTGTTGAAACACTGCTGAAGCCCAAGGCTTGCTCTTGTTCAAACAGCCATATGCATCCCTTCACGGCCTAAAACAAGATAGCAATAAAAGGAAGCATAAGTAGTTTTAAAACAGAATTTCTAGCTAACATATAGTACGTGTGGTATGAATGAACTACTACTTCTGGTCTTTAATATAAGAGCTGGTTGACTAATTTAACTAAATTAAGAAAATTAGTTGAGTTAGCTATTTGTAATGAATAAGTGTTGTATTTCTTAAAATATCCTTACTAATTAAATACATTAGCTAGAACTAATATTGTTATAAGGACTATCTTGAAGAAAAAATAGATAAATATGAAAGACAAAATAGATTTGGGTTTTATATTCAGGATCAAAATAAAAATCAAACGAGTTATTATATTAAGCATTGGAGGTAGTATATTATTATTGGCTTTACAATACACATGCCATGCAAAACACAACAGGTTCGCAACATTTAAAATGTATTTCTAGTTGAATATTCAGAACCGAAACAATTTCTTTTTTTTTTTTTGGGGGGGGGGGGGGGGGGGAGGGGGAGGAGTTGCCGTTCATTACAGTCAAGAAAACATAAGATTCAAGAGTGAGCTTCAGTACACTATAAAATGTTAGCTGTTACGAATAAAACTAGTGTCACCCCCATGCGATTGAATAAGAATAATCATAGATACACATAAGTAATCCAATTCAACATACAGATGCCCAGAGAATATGAAATGAAAGAGATCACAAATTCACCAGTACAATGAAGATTAGCTTACCTCCGTCCTTATAGTGCGCCTATTGAGGAAAGGACCCAAAGGGAAAGGAAACCCAGTGAAATTGAAGTAAAATCTGCCACTTGGGTTTCCGCTATTTTGTGTTGTGACGGCGGTGCTGGTGCCAGCTGAAGCCACAATCAAATTTGTGAAATTCCTTCGGTGTTGTGTTGGTTTTAGATGTAAACAAAGACCCTTCGAAGAACCACCAAGGAAATTCGAACTTGATTCATTGAAATAAATGGGATTCTGCAAAACTGAAGATTTAGGAGAAGCAATGGCAATGGCTACCATCTTCCCGAGGCCAGCAATTTCGTCGCCAGAAAGTATGGTTCAGGGTGCATGGACGAAGGATCCAAATGGGAGACATTGCCGGTTATACTTGTGACACGTGGACCTCGTTTTGGACTTGGATTGTCCTACATGGATCTTGCGGGAGCCTTAGATTAATTGCGGAGGCGAAGAGAACGAACAGAGAAGGAGAGAAATTTCTAGAACAACACCCCCTTTGTCATTATTTTTAATTTTTAGTCTTAGAAGGTATTTAGATAAAAATTAATAATTTTAAAAATATTTTTACGTTATACAAAATAAAAATATAAAGGAATCTGTTTCGTTTTCCAATTAATATCTTTGGATTGACTTTCATTTGAAAAAGATGTGGATTACACGAGACTAGGCCTCAAGCTCACTTGCTATCATCATATCCAAGTTACTCGAATTTAACGGCTAAGGAAAATAATACCAGTTACCGAATTTCATTTACAATAAAAATAAAATTAAGGTCAGATTACTTAAGTTGATAAAATTTAGTCCTGATTAGCATAAATTCGGTATAGGATTGTATGTACAAATAAATTTTATAAACTCAAGTAATCTAATGATCTTCATGATATTTTTTTTTAAAGTAATAGAAACATGAAGGAAAGATAATTAAAAAAAATCACTTATTCAGTAAATAATTTAAAATAGAATGAGCTTCATCTAGTCAAATATAAATTGATGAAATAAAAAAAAACTTATTGGTGTAAAATAAAATAACCTTAAAACTAATAGAAATATGAAGGAAAGGGAATAAAAACGAGAGAAATAACTACACCATATTCTTCAACACCCCAACATAAATAAGATATCTTAGTCATAGACACAGCCATCCATGTCAAATGCCTCGTCCGTATTAAATAATAAAATAGTAAATAATAAAGTAGGGTCACCTCCGATCTTAATTATAAGAACTAGTTGACTAATTTGAGGGGATTAAAAAAAACAAGTTAAGTTAGTTATTTGTAATAAATAGGTGTTATCTTTCCTAAAATATCCTTACTAATCAAGTGTGTTGGCTAGAACTATCATTATTAGAAGAGCTGTCTTAGGGTGTGTTTGGTATGAGGGATTTGGGAGGGAGGGAGGGAGGGGAGGGAAGGGGAGGGATTTTAATCATTTTCCCTTATTTGGCAACACACAAATTTTAGGAGGGGATGGAAAATTTTTTAAAATTTCCCCTCCCCTCCCCTCCTCAACCTCCCCTCCAAATTGAGAGGATTTGGAGGGAAAGGCAATATTTTGTCATATTATGATTATTATGCCTATATTTTGTCATATTATGACCATTATGTCTATATTTTGTCATATTGTGACCATTATGCCCACGCCTTAAATAAAATAAGAGCAAAATTGTCCATATTAAAATATTTTTCCCTCCCCTCCCCTCTTTTTTATAAATCCAAACAAGATAATATTAAAATCCTTCCACTTCCCTTCCCTCCCCTTCCCTCCATTAAAATCCCTCCCCTCCCATTCCTCTCATTGAGCCAAACATACCCTTAGAAAAAATGCATAAATATTAGAGAAAAAGTATATTGAGATCTTATATTTAGAATCAAAATAAAAGTTAAACGGTGTCTTATATTAAAGACCGGAGGTAGTAATAATTTATGAATGCTTATATCAAATGAAAAATAAAGCACATGAGTAGTAAAATAATGAAAATTACTTGAGAAACTTACATGATAAATTGGGGCTACTCTCGAACAAAACGGTTGAAAGAAGCTTATCGGGAAAAATATTAAACTTCTTGCTCCATTTCCCTCCAAAAAGATAATTATTATTTCATCCTCAATATAAAAGCTAATTAAACATTTAATATAATTCTAAATATAATCGTTTTAATACACTGTCTATTATATTTGTTCATTCCCTAAAATAGGCTCATAGTGATTACACATGTTAAATGATTTTCATTTTTCTATTAAAAAACAATTTTCATTCTAATGCACATGATTAATATAAAGATATTTTAAAAAAAATAAACACTCATGTATTATAAATAATAAACTTAACTAATTTTAACCCTTGTATTAAGAATAGAAGATACTAGTAAGTTGCGTTGAGGATGGAAGATCTGTGTGTATTGCGGATTTTACTATTCCATTTACACCTGATGAAGTTACAGTTCAAATGTATCCCAAAAGATAACACAACCAATTGTTTGCAATGCAGTCTACAAAATTACTACACCTACGGCTGTAAGATATGCTCATTCGTGTCCACATAGAATAGCACGTGAGCATTTTAAATTCGGTAGAATGCAACAACCATAAACTTTATTCTACTAGATGGAGTCAGCTATTAAATTGCACGACATTATTGTACTTTATCAACAACTAAATCCTTAGACAGGTTGAATAATTATATCAAAAGATTTGCACTTCAGCAGGGAAACCTTGTACATCCTCTGGTAAAAAAAAAAAACCTCGTACATCCTTGAAGAAGGTCAGTACAATCATTTGCAAACAACATCATCACCACCAGACAACTGACGTTACAATCTTCATCCACCATCCAAGCAAAGCAAAAGCTATAAATTAAGACTCAAAAAACTGAGATTGAGCAGGAACTATACATGGCAATAGAAAATGATGAAGCTGTAATTTACAATGCCGAAATTGTTGGATAGAGCCACTAAGTGAAGCATATATACTGCCTCGTGATCTCAAGTGGTAATTTCCCTGACAAGCCAATCTAAGCTAGGATATGCAAAGTACAGGATGAGAAGTGATGGGAAAGCAAACAGAATGGTGACAAGTGTGTACAAAGCCAAAACGGCTGCACTTGCTGGGATTGCATACAAAGTAATGAGAAGAAGTATGAGCACAAATGGGAACTTAGCTGTCAAGTGGACAAAAAAAACCAGCGACTTCAGAACAGAACTATGCAGTCTTTCCATAGTGAAGTGATTATCAGCATAATCATTATATTGATTGGAAACTGATGGCCCTGTATGGGACTGAGGAACATGCCGTCCCCTCCTCAGGTTGTCATGGCGTACTTGGCTTCCCATTGTTCGATTGTCTTTGATTGGCCATAGAGGTTGCTGATGAAGATGATGATCCCCACAGAAAGCTGATTGTGTCTTCACTCTATCACCATTTATGCTCTCAACCATCCAAAGAAGGAAGTAGTTCTTGCGAGGGAATTTGACATTTCCATTATAAACCAAACGGAAAGATAGAAGATTGCACCAGGGACAGGAGATAAAAAGTGGAAGCTGAATTGGCAGCGTCGGAACTTTGACAACAGCCCATTGCAGCCCCAGGATGCAATTTTTACAAAGGGTATGGCCACACCATAAGACATAGGGCACATTTTCAACAATGTTGAAAGATTCCCAACATATTGGGCATTCAAGCCCTTCCCCTCTGCCCACAACAGAAGATGTCTCATCATCGGAGCATTCTGAAGCTGTGTGAGGTTGCTTTACACTTGCAGAATCATTCTTCAGCCTCGCACATCCAGCAAAGCAGCTTGATGCAAAATTCCACATTCTGCATCACATCAACATAACCAGGCAAAAGAGCATCATCTGGACCTGAATGTGATTTTCACATGACCCAAAACTCCAAGTTTGCAACATTTTCATTAGGGGCAGAGCCATGGTAAGTTCAAATCACAACCCAAAAAGGGTCAGTATCTTCAGATGGTAACATAACGAGTAAAATTGCTATAAGCATCCATGCCATGAGCTCATCATCATAAGCAATCATGTTAATCGTATACATGCATTTGACACCCTTTCGTTAAGAAAATACTTGTTATCCTCAGATGAAGGGGGCAAGGCGTATTGTCAAACTTCTAATACATTCACTTAATAAAATAAACCAAACAAACTACCAAGAAGCGAAAACTCAGCCCAGTGAACAAAGAAATCAAAATCAAGAAATATGTATTTATTTGAGGTTGGCATAGAACTGTAGAAAACTTGCAGTATTTTATCAAATACCAATGAATTTGGATTTGATGCACTTCTTTCGAAAAGTGCACAATGCCCATAACTTATTTCATTATTAATTGACACGCCATTATATATCTTTTCAGGTTTTCTACATCCCTTTATAAATAAAAAAAATACACACGGTACCCTCCTCGAAAGATGTGCACCAGATCCATTTCCCTAAACCTACCTTACATAAAACATATTACTGTCAGAATACCTATATTGGGTTCTCAGATTCTGCTCTTATTATATCAGGCAATCATTCAGGGGTCAGAGAGTAATACAAATTTAACTAACTTTACATCATAATGTGCTTCATCAGTAGCCACTAGCATATAAACCGACTGAACTGTCGGAACTGGAGAGATACAGTAGCCCAACTCAGTAAACCCACAGCATCGTAAAGGTAGAAGCTGGATTATAGTTATACACATTAACATGGTATCTGATAAAGAATTTGACTAAGGAAGTACAGAATTATCAAATGACCTGGGGCAAGACGAATTTTTCCTTGTATAAGTTCCAGTTATTTGCCAGATTTTGTCAAACTTATCTTTTTCAACAAGCCAAACGTCTAAGAATCACACCATCAAATACGATCCAAAATGGAATGTGCATATATATGGCTTCTAAGAGTAAAAAAGATACAAAATCAATGGAAATCCCTGTGGGGGATTTTCAGTCTGTTTGTCAGCTGAATCAAAACTCGATCCTCAGGATTAAATAATGAAAGTAAGGAAAAGTAAGGATGAATTATAGAAGATGAAGTCTGAGAAGAAGATCATTCAAACCGATTGCTCATGCTGAAGGTTTAACTTTGACAGAGTCCAATAGAGGGCTGATCGAACCTCTCTAGACCACTCCCAGAGACTCAGACACAGTATCTGTTCAAAACGGAAAACCTGCAAGCACCCTTATGCGCGTCAACCCCCGATTCTTGCGTCACCTGTTTCTTGTCCAAACGAAGATTGGTGGCCTACTATTAATATTACTAGTATTATCTTTTTTCCGGCTAAAAGAATAATACTATTATTACTACTATTTGGTTTTTCG